GGGGGGGGGGGGGGGGGGGGGGGGGGGGTGTTGGAGCCAACCCGTCTATTGTTGGAGCCAAAAGTTTTAGTTGTATCTTGGAAAAATTAAACGTGTCTCCACTTGCGCGCTCTCTCTTTTCAACTAATGCAAAAACAGTCAAACCTCCTTCCCACCACACATGCAGATGTACTACACCTTAATACCCCGGTAACAAAGGGGAAAACATATCGTTAAACAGGTGTCAGTTCGGAAAATATATACATATGTATTTATAAATAAAATAATCTCACCTGATTGAACGGCTTTTTTCACTTTTGTTAAATTGCTGTCATTAGAAGTACTCGTCGCGCATCATTCGTGTTGTAGGCTAGTTACATTATAATCTTGTACACGAGGAACGACGACTGATATACGACTTTCTTTGGAAAATCCCGCACGCATGCGCACTTTAATTTGGGGTTTCCGTCTCAGCATGGCTTCAGTGTCAAGTATTGACAGCAGGGGGGAGGGGGGCAGAAAAGTCCGAGTAGCACGCAACGCAAAGTGTCGTGTGCAATTTGTTTTGGAATTACATGATACACTTTATTAAATTCTGCACGAGACAGAGAGTTGTTTGTGCGGCTGCAGTAAAGGTAATACTCGGTTCCTCCCACTGGTTTCTCGCCCTAGCTCTGTGCTGCTGGTGCCTTCACTGCCCCTCGTAACTGCCCACTGTTAATTACAAGTTCAGGAACGTTGGGGACGTTAGGAACGTTAAATGTTTCACATTATGTTGGATTTACAAAAAAGATGGTTGTCAGCTAAACAAGATGAATTGTAGCCTACATGACATAAGATGACACACACCTGTTTCGCACTGAAGCATCAAGGAGGAAATGATGCAACATGAGTATGCAGGGAGAGTTTGTAGCAGCAATTAAGCTGTCCTCAAAGCCCACTTTAGAATAATAATGACATCTTTAAAACACCATACTGTTGAGGAAATATTATATGGTCAAAATTTAGAAACTGTTGGTAATATGGTGAGGAACACATTACTTAACTACCTTCTTCAAATATAAAGAGCCAGAGCTGTTTTGGAGGAAATCAAAGTCAAGTCAAATCAAAAAGCAAATCATACTCTATCTATCAATGCAGAGGGTGCCAATTATGATCATAGCAGGGGATTATGGCTCGACTTTGTCTTATTGGGTCGAAACGCCAGAAAAAGTAACAGTACAAAAACATTTTTTTATTGTGAGACCAGCACACTTCATCTTGTGGCATTCATCAGGGCTGTCAAACAGTGCACTCAAAGATTATTAGAATAAGTATGAATCAATATTTATTAAGAATTATATATACATACACATACATATCAGCCAATGTGGCATTCACACATGTATTAGGGAGCCAATCATATTCCTGAACTGGCAAGGGGTTGTCCTAATGATGGATATTAGTGACACCATGTGTAGGCCATAAAAAGGAGTAGTGCATCTATGAGAAGCTTCTCTAGCTGAAAATGGGTATTTTCGCAAAATGTGCCTTTTGAGACTAACTATGAAACATTACAATATGAATAAAATAATTAAAATAATATTTTAAAAATCTGAGATAAAAAAAGAGAACCAAATGAGAACCAAAATGAAAGCACATAAATGAGGAATTGTAATACGTAATTAACCTTTGTTGCATGTCATACCCTCCTCTCCCCTCTTTCGCAAAATCTGTTGGGCTGTCCAATCAAAAGTAGCCAAGTGCGTAAACAGGAAGTCACTGTAACATCATCAGTGACATAACTTTCAGTTTTAGAGTTAGCAAGTGATACATGTAAGTTCTGCCAATTCTTTGTAATGTAGGTATTCCTTTGTTTTATTGAAATATATAACTAAATTCATGAAATGAATGTATGAATGAGTATTTCAGAATAAGGAGTATTCATGCAGTTTCTAAACAGTTACATCATTAGCATGACATTTTGTAATATGAAGTATTTTTATATGAGGTTATATTTTGGTTAGACAGAAATTTGATCCAATGTCAGATATGTTGACCATGTTCTATATTTACTCTTATATCCAGGGCTGTAACCAGGATTTTAGAAACACTGAGGCAATGAGCCCCCCTCCCTAACCAAAACCACCCTCACCACATTTAGAACAAAATGAAACCAAAAAACACCACCATTTCTTTCTATTATTTGGACTTTTCAAAATGTTTAATATTCATATTTTTCAGTACATATTCAGTTTTACTCATTCTGCACAATTCTTATCTTATCAATAAGTCTTTCTCTATGAATTATTTTGTTGCCTAGTTTAATATGATACAATATGATAAGATTGACGGCTAATTATAATTCTTTTTACACCGGAATTGTGCGACCAAAAGTGCTGCTGAGTAAGCAGTTACAGGGATGAGTTGTGAATTTAGCAGAGCTGAACACAACAATGTTGCTTTGATTCTATTAAGACAAAATGCACTTTAGTCTGTTATCAGAGAAGTCAAAAGTATAGCTGAATACAACAATAAATACAATTGTTAGTTAAATAATTGAAAGAACAAGTAAATGCGGTATACTTCTCCTTTAGCATCCAATCAGTTGAGATTTTAATAATCTAATCGACCGTATTTTTTATTGATGTATTTTCTATTTAGTTATAAATAGACTTGTCTGATAACCCTTTACTACAGTTCCTGAGCAGCTCCTGGTGAGACTTCCATTTTCCCGACTGCACCCGAAAGCATCGTGAGTACAGTGAAACAACCAGCAGGAGCAGTCATGAGTGGAGCTCAGCGGAGAGTAGGCACAGCTTCCTGGATGGAAACAAAACGCAGGAGCAGACACACACACACGCACACACACTCACACACACACACTCGCGCACACACACGCAGGCCAGATAGGAGCGAGCAGAACGCCCAAACATGTTGTTAGTTTTTCATTAAGCCCGGTGCGTGTGTGTGTGTGTGTGTGTGTGTGAGTGAGTGAGAGAGAGGCGGTAACCGGGCGACAGTAGCATTTCGGCGGTGACGGCAGAAGGTGAACAGCAGACTGTATCAACACATGTGCCCGTGGCACAGTGAGAGCACTGCGGCTGTGGTTCTGGACTCGGGCAGCTCCTACACCCAGCGGTCCTACAGGCAAGGTAGGCCCCCCCCTCCCGTCTCTCCTCTGCTCATACTGTCTTACTTTGTCTGCATCACACGGGACCACCCATTAACCGAAACCGCTTACGCCTTATGAAATACATCACACCATGAATGCGTCAGAATGTGGACCCGGTACGAGCATGCAACCTTGAGAGGGAGATGCAGATGTGTCAGGTGTGGTCTGTTTGAATGCACGGTAACAGATGTGACATCACACGGTTACTTTTGTCATAAACAACACTAACCTCAGCAGAATATGCCCGGGACACAAGGGAATATTACTTTACCTTTAAATAACTGCAATTCAATGTCCACCTCACTGATTCTGGTTAAAGTGATGTACAGTACATGAAGGTTTGCATTTTCTCCAACTCGTCATTATCTTCATATGTCTGTCTTTCAACTTGACATGCTCATCCAGAATGGCAGACAAGAGGGAGAGATTGCAGCTGTATAAATGATGCCATATATATTCTGCCACACACTCCCCGAGGCACGCAGTCCCAGCAGCCTCAAACACAGCAGCGGCCTGTGTGAAAAGCAGCTTTTCACTGATCCTTTGATCCCCCCCCCCCCTCCCTGGCTGGAATGCAATCTAGACCTTGATCCGTGTGGACTGCTAATCACAGAACGGCCAGCTCCACGCCTGAGAGCAACTGTTAGCACACAGGGGCGTTTTGATTAATGAATAGCTCTAACTTAGTATTCTCAGCTGTAATTGCTTGCTTGAAGGCCAGTACTGATAGTGATGCGTTTTGTATGGAAGCTTCTAGTCGTTCAGCATTTGGTGTTGACATTTAAAGTGTTTGGGATTTAATCATTCAGGCCCGGAAATGCTTCTGAAACAGCGCTCAGACCGTGGCCTAATCCTCAAACTCTTAAACCTGTTCACTGTGTTACATTGGAATCAGACAGCCACGACAGTAGTGATGAAATCCACAGTTCACAGTCAATCAAAATGCTTTAAATCCATCACATCAAAGGTTTGACGAGATCCGATTTGTCTGTTGTTCCACCAGACTCTGTTGACAAATGGTCACCCAGGCAATCTCCTCATTTTGTTCAGGAACGAAAGGCTTTACACTGTTGACAAATATACTGGGGTTTCCACGCAGCAAAGCTACCTGATACCTGTCAGTGCCTGGGCAGGACAGGACAGGCTGACAGTATGTGTGGGATGACGACTGCAGCCGGCTCAGCTCGCCCGTCTTAAAGCAGTGCAGAACGACACGCTGTGACTGTGCAGAAATACCAGCGTGCAATGCCTGCTACGCAAACTCCACTATCAGCCATCTGCTGATAGTGGATCTGCTGATCATGTGCTACCGATCGGCGTCGGCACGCATGATGAAAGAGCACTCACTGAAAAATGTAGGACACCGGTGGTGGTGGTGGTGGCTCTATTGATCGAGCTGCCCCCAAATTTTCCTGCCAACTTCACCAGCCTCGATGAAATAGAGAGCACTGCGTGTCGGATTAATGTGTGATTTCAACAGCCGCTCAGGCTGCAGAGTGTGTGTGTTTTTTCAACTCCACCGTTTCCTGTGTGACCCCTTTCTGTGTCCAACCACTGTTATCTACGGGATTAAATCGCTAAATCCCAGATTATGGGTTGATTATTTCTCACGCTTTTTTTGGGGGGGATTGGGCTGAACCAAAGCTTTTGGGGTATGATGTCTTTGGTTCTCTTTAACACCAGATTAGGCCTTTATTACGCACCAGCCTCTGCCCTGCTGTCCCAGAAGCTAGTACATGTCTGATGTCTGATAGAAGACGGGATCCTAATACATTTATGCTCATAAGCTTTCACGCTTTCAAGCTTTTAATGTCATCTTGTAGCTTTTAATACGAGATAAGAATGGCCGTATAATTATTGCTTTGCAGATTTTTGTTTTTCATTTAGAAAATGTTGCAATTAACCTCTTTATTCCTCTACTGAGTGGCTATTCGCTCACTTCTTTGCTGTTATAGAAACAATGCGGCAAATTGCAGAAGGCGACCAGCTGATCCTGGATGATCTTCTCGGCAACCTCTCAAAATAATAATCTCGATCACCATGTATATGTTTTTGCATTCATCCTTTAAGGTTTGAAAAGGATTCCTGATTTCTCACACGTCTTGCATGCATACAATTCATTGCAGCTAGTGCATCGTGTCTGATGGACACATTTGTGCTCGTCGCTGTAACTGAACAGATTTTGTGGACTGGCACATGCGTGTGTTTCAAAAAAAACAAAAACGATCGGCAATTCATTTTCCCTGTCAGAATGGACGAGGATCCGGTCAATAACTGTAGAACAGTAAACACAGACCTTACACCTCGGCTGTAAAAAAGAATGACTCGATGAGTAATCAGTAACACGGCAGTAATTACACATCATTATGTTGTGCTTCACGCACCGCGCGGCTCTGAACGGTGACTAATTCGTCTCTCAGGTAACGGGACCGTGACAACAGAACGCCTCGAGAGGTGAGGTCATCACGGATGGTGTTGTGTGAGCTGTGTGGCAAAGAGGAAGAAGAGGGTCACACCTACACTGAAGAGAGGAATAAGATCTGTGCTGCTTTTTTAGTTTTTTTTTCCACTTACAGGAACATGGAGGCTGTAGCTCCTCTCCATTTACAGCAGAAGGGCTAGGGAGCAGACCTGATTACTCCCTCCCCCTCTTGCCTGCGTCGCCCCACCATGGCCAGCAGGAGTCCTACTCTCAGCCGGGAAGACGGGGGTTCGACACCGGGGACCCCTGAGGCCGGCGCTAAACACCCCCAGCCGGGGCCCGAGGCTTACTGCAAGCTGTGCCTCAGCGAGCAGCTGTCCGCAGCCACCAGGGAGCTGCAGGGCTGCGGCTGTGTCTTCTGCTCAGCGGTAAGGACAGGGCTGTGGGAGTCGAACCTGTGAGGTTTGTTGTTACTGAAAACAGAGCAGGGGTTACTCCAGGCTGTATTTAGATCAATGCTGATCCAGTACTCATATCCCTCTGTGCTTCTTACTTTTAAGATTTCACAAAAAAAGTGATCTAACGCCAGGCTTTTCTTTGGGCAATTTAGGCAAATCTCCAACACTTGAATCACTTGGAATGGGATGTTCCCTTTTTATTGCAGCACCGCTTCCTGTTTTAATAACTTTAAAATAGATCCTTTAGTGCCAAATCTGTTGCAGCTTCAGAGAAATGAAAGGGTTTCAACACAGGGCTGGCTCACACTCACTTTTATGTTGTTGTGTCCTTGGAAATTATTGTGATTAATCAAAGCTGTTGGCAACTTACTGGATCTCACAAACATTTCCTAGAAGCCTTTTCACTCCTTTTAATGAGAGACGAGGTGCTATCTCTAGAATACAGAGCTGTGTCATTCATAACAGCAGCCCAGATGTCTGCTGCCACGCTGTTCCAGTCTAACACATGCCTGTCTGACATATCGAAACTCAGATGTTGGTGTTATGACCTGACGCAGAGAGGTTGCTCCACAGCGGCAGGTGTTAATCTCTGTCCAAGGTAGCAAAGTTGTCACTGTAGTACGAGGTCACGAAGATAAAACACACACACACACACACACACACACACACACACACACACACACACACACACACACACACAGTGTCACTGGGGAAGAAGGAGGGAAAGGGATACTGTAAACCCTGCTTATCAGTTGAACTCTATTTGATCAACCTGAACACAGACTATTGCTTGTGTTTTTTGTTGTTGTTGTTTTTCATTCCGGCTCAGTATTTGGATGAACAGTACATCATGCTTTATGAGAAAGCACATGACGAGCCCAAGTTTGCACGTAGAAATGAGTCCTAAAAACACATTCCGCTCCTCTGCGATAGATTTGTTTTTCCACAGGACAAATAGCGACACGTAAATGTTTTGTATTTTCTGTTTCTCAAACCTGTCTGCCTTTGAGCAATGTTTACATAGTTCCTCCGACCCTTCCATATTTCATAGCTGAGGCAACGGATGACTTTGTACAGCAGCTCCGCTTTGTTTGCTTATTGGATTCGTCATGAGAGGATTGTGTTTTTACTAACTCTGCCGTGTTGCTTTCTCCCTCTCCAGTGTTTGGAGCAGTATGTTCAGCTGGCCATCATGGAGGGAGGGGGGGCACCCATCACCTGCCCAGATATGGCCTGCCTGAAGACCGGAGTGCTACTGGACTCTGAGGTATGCCCTGCTTAGACCCAATGATAGGAGGGAAAAAAAAACAGCCAATAGTATTCAGAGGTCATAACATTTTATTAATCGCACAAACAAAAACTAAACCTGAACTAAAAACCCTGCTTTATGCAAACCTGTTTTGGGAAGATACGTTTGAATTTCTTTCTAATGAATTTGCTGCAGTTTTCAGTCCAGAGTGCTGCAAGCAAACTTCTCAAGAAATATAAAGTTGGATTTTCCCCCCTTGTGTTTTTAAGAGTGTGTGGGCTGGATTAACTAAGATGAAGTGTTGTAATAACGCAGCGGACGCAGCCGTAGTGATATTTCTGAGGGAATTATTTTCCAGTGTGAGGAGCTGAGGATGAGATAATGCCAGCAGTCAGACGGAAAGTGAAACTCCATGAGCTGTAACACATCGGAGATGCCAGTCAGTAAACATGACAGAGAAGAGGCTTAAACTGCTGATTCACTCTCAAATGGAAATTCTGCTCCTCAGTTCCTCATTTGTAATGTTTTTTTTTTTCTTGTCTCACTACAACTGAATCAAGAAACTTCCTTATGATAAACAAACCCTCTTTGTACTTCTTATTGATTAGAAGTGGTTGGATTGTTGAATTTCTATCCCCTGTTATCCAGTAGGGAAATTAGGCAGGTGTTAAACAGACAAACAGTATTACTGGGGGGAAATTATATTTAGTCTTTTTTTTTTTTGGCCAATTGGCATATCGTACTGTAATATTTGCAGACCGTTGCAACACCTGTCTTGCTGATCATATGCAACTTGCAGCTTTTACTACGACATAAGAACAGCAGTATAAATGTTGCTTTGCAGCTTTTTTCCATTTAAATGTTGCAATCAGCCTATTGTTTTTCCTCTTAGTGGCTGTCCTCTCACTACTGAAGTGTCTTAAGAATAATGCAGCAAATTGCAGTTGCTAGGTGACCAGTTGATCCTGGATGATCTTCTCGGCAACCACGCAAAATAGCCTCATTTTAATCTCGATCGCCATGTATTGTTTTGCATTTATTCATTAGGGTTTGAAAAAGATTCTGGATTCCTCAAATGTCTTGTATGCACACAATTCATTCAGCGTCTCAGAGTGACTGACACACACCCTCTCTCTGTGCTGTGTGATTGACAGATAGCTAGCTTGGCCCCAGAAGACCAGGTGGAGCTGTACCAGCGTCTGAAGTTCGAGCGAGGTAGGTATTGTTGCGTTAGCATGCCGGTGACCGGGGACAGGCATTGGGCTATTTCAGGTCGCACTTCAGCTGGTGTGTCGTTACCTAAGCACAGCTCCACATGCCTGGGATAATGTGGGGCCTCCTGCTCTTTATTCTCTTCTGCTGGGGTCCGGTTTTACCCGGGAGGTTACTGACACTGTGGCTTTAATACCTTCAGTTAAACCAAACATTACCAGCAGGGAATTCAATAACAAATGCTGCAAGAGTTCCATGGCACCATTCTGTTCAATTTGAAGCAATGATCGTTTCAGTGCTAATTAATTGTATGACCTACGTGTAGCTGTTTGCACCATTTGTTGTGTACATTTTTGTGAAATGTGTATATCTCTGTCTTGCACTGGAGGCCTGGGAACAGGAGGAAAATAACTGTTGAGATATAGGTTTCTGTTGACATTTACAAATTGCAAACAGAGGTTTGCCTTCTAGCCATATTGGTCTTTTCCAGTTGCATGGTATTGTTTACTTTGGCCATAAATCATGAGACTCATAATATTGGAAGTATAAAAAGTGCAAAGTAGGTGTTTCCCTTCTGTAAGGATTCAGAGTGAAAGTATGAGCTGGTGAGGGGATCAGACCAGGAAAGCTCCAGTTCTTTGTTCATGGTTGTAAAACATGCCAGATTTATTGTTTGAGCATTCCTTCTGTCCCCGTAAGCTGCTTAGAGAGTTGTTTGCCTTCATAGATAACCCATTAGAAATGACAACAATTGATTTATTAGATGTTTATAGCCGTGCTAACCAGGGATGGCAGTGTCATATAGATTGCCATACCTTTGGTACATTCATGTCCCCCTCAGGATAAATTGTAACAGTTTTGGTTGGATTTTCTGACTTTTCTTCTGGAACCGTCCGTCACACGTGTAAAACTAATGACGTTACCATCAGCCTCTGCTGTGCTTGTTTGTTTAATGCAAATTTGCAAATATTAGCATGCTAACATGCTAAATTAGGATGGTGAACATGGTAAACATTGCCTGCTAAACATCCGCATGTTAACATTCTCATTGTGAGCACGTTAGCTTTTAGCTGAAACCACAGCTGTACCTTAAGTACATCTACATCTGCTCGATATCTGCTTCAGAAATGCACAATCGCATCCCGTCTTTGCTTTCTGCAGGAGTCAAGTTGGACCCCAGTAAAGCCTGGTGTCCGGTGCTCGAATGCCAGTCGGTGTGCAGTGTGCAGCTGAGCACTGAGGGCCAGCCCGACGCCGTGCCCTGCCCGACCTGTCTCACCGTCTTCTGCTCCGGGTGCAGAGGGCCCTGGCAGGACGGCCATACCTGCCCGGAGCGCCAGCCCATGATGTCGCCCTCTCGTGAAAGCAGGTCAGTGAGCCGGCCGTTTGGTGAGCTGCACTTTGAAAATTATACTGTGCTAGAAGCAGGATTATTATATTACATCCTATTCAAATCCCATCCTTCCATCAAATATAAAAAGAGCTGACAGTTATTGAGGCAGGATATTTTCATTGAATGGATTATAAAGTGATGTGTAGTTCCTGACCTCCCAGCAGAGGCCCTGAGCTAAATATACAATAAGCATTAATTCAGGATGAATAGCTTAGTACTCCTCAGGAGTGCCCTCTGTGTAGTCCCCGTTGTACAGCTACGTGCCGCTACGAGCTGTGGCTCTGCCACACTGACTGATGTCATTGGGGAGTCACTGACTTATATCGGAACTCCATTGTTACTGTGCCAAAGGGAGGAGGAGGGTGGGCACCGAGCCACGTAGTTGACTGTACTGAAGGAGCCCGTGCACTGCAGTGAAGCAGCGGTGTCTGCAGTGTGCTGTGGGAGGACGGTGCAGACATGAGGGGATTGAAGGGAGATCAACTTTAAGTTTGAACTTGAGAGCATGATGTGCGTTTGCCTCAGCCTGCAGGTTTAGTCTTCAAGCACAATGTTATTGTACCAGGGTCATTGCCAGTGGTTTAGAAATAATCATTTTCAAGATTTTCACATTTAGCTTTTTAATTCATTTAATTGTACTACCCTACATAATGATGGGATTGTTGTTTCTAAGCCCTCTCTACACTAACCTGATAATCATTTTGTGTTTTTTTTCCGAATCAGCATCAGCAACGAGTGACAAATCCGTTACATCACCGTACGATATTGATTTAAACAACAAACAAAAAAAGTTATTTCCATAGACTGTATATAAGAAGGTTATTTCTCATCACACACATCAACATTTTTGTTGCAGTTTTTCTGGTGTTATTTTTTGCTGACGCTGGCACCGGAAAATGACATCATCATTCTTAATCACCTACAGAACACGGACTGACTTGATAGCTTTTCCATCATCTCCCTTTCCCCCTCAAATGTAAACCTGCTTTGATCAATGATTTTATTTTAAAAAGGGAGAAAAACCCGATGTAGATTGTGAAAGGAGTCACTTGTGTTGCCAACACCCATAGAGAAGTATCACCTGACTGTGCAGTTCCCCTCCAGCTCTATGGAGTTTTTTTTTAGCATCTAACAGCTTATTTTTGGTTGACTGACTGATCATATAAACCCCCTCAAGGTGAGCACTCTCCCTTCACTCAGCTGCTAAATGAAGAATTGACACGCTGCCTGGAGGCCTTCGTGGCCTCATACTCCACTGGGCCCCAGCTGACTGCATATCTGTGCCTTCCTCCCGACACACAGGGCCCGCTCCGGCAGCGACTCTGACATGCCCATCAAGCAGTGCCCTATGTGCGGCATCTACATCGAGAGGAACCAGGGCTGTGCACAGATGCTGTGCAAGAGCTGCAAACACACCTTCTGCTGGTACTGTCTGCAGAATCTGGATGTGAGTCTCCCCTGTTACATACACGGGGTGAAAAGTATCTATAAGACCTAGCCACCTGTTTGTTACAGCTAAGCTCTAAATCTCTCAGCCTCTGCATCACTATCTTTAGTTTGTGTTCGCATGTCCTCGGTGATTGCTAGATAACAGTGTTTTTGTGATTGCAGGGGGATATCTTCCTGAGGCATTATGATAAGGGGCCGTGCAGAAACAAGCTGGGACACTCCAGGGCCTCGGTTATGTGGAACAGAACGCAGGTGAGGTCACTCACCACAGACAGCAGACCAGACACACAATAGTCATTTCAGGCTTGCGATGATGCTGTCTTTGTCTGAATGGATTAGCCTGCAGAGCCAATCCTCTGTGTGTGGTCAATTATTGCGTGCGTTGGTTTGATTTTGGTAAAACTGTGCCATCACTCTACCGGGATTGGACGTTAAAGATTTTGGACTCCCAGCTGCACTGTTCTGCGGTCAAATCAATGAGTCACCGTCTCCAGTGAGGATGTTGAAGGAACCTATGCAGGACAGGAAAGTTCCATGCTGGCATGTTTTTTGGCACACTTAATTGAAAATTTAAACAAAAGTTTAAATACGTGCAAAACTCAACGCTCATCTCTTCCTTTAAAGACCTATAAAGTGTTGTTAGCCCCAAATAGTCCTGTATCAGGCATTCAACTGAACTAATCTCAGCGCTAATGTCAAATTCCTGCCCTGCAATGAAGTTGTCCGGTCAACAATACGATCGGCCTCCAAACCTTCTTTCTTTTTCGCTTCCCCCGCTCTGATGCAATTATCACATGATTATCATCAGGTTTGCAGTGAACTTCCTGAGCTGATTGTGTCTCGGTGTGTCTGCATCGCTAAGTATCTGGAGAGACGAAGAACCACAACAACGCAGTTGTTTTCCGTGCAACCATGACAGACATGGTTGCACATCTAGTCTAACAGGTCCTATACATTTTACAATCTGCTTGTCCTAAATTCCTTCCTAGCTGCATTCAAATACTGCTGTATTTCAGTACTACATACAGTACATTCTTTTTAATCTTACGTGTTATAAAATGCACGAAGGCTGCCAGTCTGATTGTTTGGCAGTAATGATTATTGTAAAGATTTATCAGTGTTAATTTGCTGCTTGTCTAATCTTTTCGATATTTGAACCGTTGGTGGCACTGTCACCTATATACAAGCTGTAAACAAAACACTGACATATCCTGTTCTAAAGTTTGTGCTGCTGACGCGGTGACATCCAGCAGACTCAGAGAAGCGTAGCTACTGTTTTCAGTCGTGTTTCTGTCCCCCCGTTAGTCCAATATTCACTCTCCTTTAAGCCCTGTTTTGGTCTCCACCGTCTCCTGAGGGAAATATCTGGCTCTTTAGCTGCTGTTAAGTGCTAACTTTGTCTCTTTACTGTTTAGTGCAGGGCAGGTAGCGCACTGTGGGTTTATATTATTCACTGAAAACAGCTGCCTGCAGCTGGGAACAAGCAGTGAACCTCCTGAGCTGATTGTGTCTGCATCGCTAAGTATCTGGAAAAAAACTGTTGTTCCTTGCAAAACAACTCATGACGAACTGAGTTGTATCTAACGGGTTCTAAAAGTTTTCCAGTCTGCTTGTCCTGAATTCCTTCTTAGCTGCCTGCAATCACTGCTGTGTGGACAATGCATTTAAAGTACACACAGTGGCTTAAATCCCCTTCTAGAAGAGCCCGCTCTCAGCCACAGCAGCATTAGTGCAGCATCTGATGTTGGGCAATAAGGCCTGAGCCAGGAATGGAACTGGAACAGACGGCATTCCAGTTCATTCCAAAGGTGTTGGATGAGGTTGAGGTCAGTGCTTTATGCACGTCATCTCCCTCCATACCTACCTTAGGAAAACCATGTTTTTTGTGCACAGGGACATTTTCATGTTGAAGGAGAAAAGGGCCAAACACAAACTGTGGCCACAATGCTGGAAATACACACTGTATATTATGTAGCATTAAGATTTCCTTTACTTGAAGCTAAGGAGCCTATTCCAAATAATAAAAGACATCCTTTGACAAAACGTACATAACTGCCTGTGGACAGGGGGTGCCCATGAACTACAGTCAAAACAAATATTTTCATTGTCAAATGAATAGTAATAGCCTGTAATGAGATAATGGTAATGATTTGAGTGGTTCAAAATGATTACAGTAGATTACCCATAATCCCACCAGCACCCTTCATAAACAGTAGGTTCTTTATGTCTGGTCTTTCCATCGCTTTTTCATTCCCGTCATCTGTCATTGGTTTTAGAAGGAGGCTTCAGGTCCATTTACTGGCGTGTTATTTGTGCTATAAAGCAACGCCTCCCAATAACATAAAGCATCACAGTATTACATTTTTTTTTATCTTACGTGTTATAAAATGCTATAGAGGCTGTTGGAGGCTGCCAGTCTTCTCAGTAACAGTGTTACAGTCTGTCAACCTGATGAATGGTAGTCAAATATTCACTCTCCTTTAAGCCCTGTTTTGGTCTCCACCATCTCCTGAGGGAAATATCTGGCTCTTTAGCTGCTGTTAAGTGCTAACTTTGTCTCTTGACTGTTTAGCGCACAGCAGGTAGTGCACTGTGGGTTTCTATTATTCACTGAAAACAGCTGCCTGCAGCTCGGAACAAGATGGATGAGAGCTGAACCAAAACCGTAAAGTTGGAGGCTGTAAAATCAAAGCAGTGGGCTGAAAGATGCTAAAACGTTACCGATCTGCAGGGTTGGGTGACAATTCTTCACTAAGAGCGACCCCTTTTCACATCACACATAATCACTCGGTCCTTCGTGAATATAAAATATTGATTAGAGCAGCTCAAGGATGTCGCTTTGTTGTCCCTCAGGTGGTGGGTATCCTGGTGGGGGTCAGCATCATCGTGCTGGTGACGTCTCCGCTCCTCCTTCTGGCCTCGCCGTGCATCCTGTGCTGCATCTGCAAGCCCTGCAGAGGGAAGAAGAAGAAGACCAAGAAGACCAAGAAGACCAAGATGACGAAGAAGGACCTCAGCCAGCCAGACTCCTCCACGTCATAGCAGCTCCCCCTTCTCATCAGCCCGGCCCAACCCAGGATCACCCCGCTGATCTAACGAAGCCCAAGGAAACCAAGAGAGAGCAAGCGCTGCGTGGTGGAAAGGAGTAAAACTGAAGGACTTTTTCATGACTCGGCAGACTGGAAGCCTCGTCAGGGGTTCAGAAATATCATCGAGATCATCAAGGGCAGACTCGCACCTTGAAGCTGCTCAAAAATCATTCTTGATTTACGAGAGTACGTACTTTATACGGTGGAAGTGTATATATGAGGAGAATGAATGTAACTCACCTCGTTCTTTTCAGATGGATAGGCAGTAAGTAAGGAGACGACGGCTGTGAGAGGTTTCCTGGACAGGGCTTCTATTCTCTCTATCTCTCCAACACACACACACACACACACGCACACACACACACATACATACCACACACACACACACACACACAGTTCAAAGTGAAACGCCACCCTCATGTGCCAAACGTCATGATGCCAAACCAGAGGTGTTAGGTGCTCAAGTGCCTCACTCTACAGTGCCTGGTTGTATTTGTTTTGCCTTCCATTCTATATTTATCTTATGCAAAAATGTTAGCATTATAAAAAATGGACAGGGTCCCTTAAAACAATGCAAAACATTCTTTGATAATGGGAGAAGGCAAACGGTGTCGTGTGTACTCTGTTCTGTACGGATATGAAATATGATAGGGCTCCAATGGTGCACAAAGAACTTTTCTTCTGCAAATATTTGTTGTTTCCACCTGGCATACGTTCCAGACCAAAGGCTTCTAAAGGGTAATGTGTGCTTTTCTACAGTGTGTTAATGTGTATTTATGGGTTTCGTGTGTATGGTATCCGGTTATTATTTCTAGATTTCTGTTGATGTTTCTGCATCAGATATTTTATAAAAGCGCCATTGTAATTGAAATAAACACACTGTATTGAACATGTATCAGAGGGTGACGTTTGTCATTTCACGGCGCTTAACTTCACCTTTGTCTTTGCGCAAAGGTCTTGACAGGAGAGTACACGGAAGCTGATGTAGCAGGAGTGAACATGCAGTTCTCACTGTGGAGACATAGAGGCGTTGCTGTAGGCATGACGGTGTAAAAGTCTTCAAGCCAACGAACTGAGCGATGCAGCAGACCTCTGGTCTCCTGGAGGTCTGCTCCAGATACATGTGGTGCATTTGACCTGCGCATTACAATGTAGAACATATGCTTATATTATTATTGTAACTTCTATCAAAATATTAAAAGCACACATTTCCTGAAAATTCCATATGGAAATTTGAAATATGACTATACACGTTTACATATATTTTGACTCAATATCTGTTTTTCACATATATCGTGAAGATATTTGAATAATGTCACATATATATTTAAAAATCGACACATTCCATAGTATAGGTACAGTGTGAATAGAAACTTCAGTACCCTACAGGGATATTGAAGGGTCAAATGGAAATTGAATTAATAATTGAAAATATAATTTTATCATTATCAGAAATATATTTTTATTACAGTACACAGTAGAGGGAAACAGGTATGCAAAAGTAATACACTTGTTTAATTACAAAATTACATATTTGTCTAACTTAATCTTTGTTTGTTTTAAAGGGTTTTAGCGACACCTTGTGTTTAAACAGGAAACTGCGCTCTTTATTTGGAAGGGAGCAGGGAGGGCTTGCAAACTGCAGTTGCAGAAACCGTAGAAGTTGAGATTCACAAATGGCGGCGCAGGAGGAATTCTTCGGGGGTAAATCATGTTATTTCAAGTGCTGTTTACAATATATGTGTGTGTGTGTGTGTGTGTGTGTGTGTGTGTGTGTGTGTGTGTGT